GTGAACCAGACCCCGCAGCCCCAGGCGGCGGAGCCGGGTTTTAAGGCTGTAATCAATTCAAGACCTTCCACGTCTGAACACTTAACTTTTCAACCTTTTGGCTATAATTTCTGGAATATTTAAAAAAATAAAAAAAGGAAGACAAATGTTTCTAACCTGCTTCCCAGCCACCCTCTTAGACGCCAGAGCCGCTGCATTTGCTGGTAGGGAGTTGCGCAGCTATTCGCTAGAAAATAGCGTCACAATGTTTTTTCCTGCGATTCTAGGAACAGCTAGGAAAATGCTGTTCTTTGAGAAAGCAAAAAGCAGTGTTTTTCATGTAAATGAACAAAAAATGAGTCATGTTACAAAGCAAGGGCATGAGTAAACTACAGGGCTCGGAGAGGCAGAGTGAACGGGCTGACAAAAAGCCCTCTTCAGGACTGGTCTTTGTGCAACGTATCCTTGTCTACATCAGTACAATTAAAGCAGGTTAGGAAATATCTTTGTAAAATGGAAAGAAAAATCAGAGGAAAACAGTAATCATAATTTCCACGTTCTGTTCCTTGTGCAGATTCTCCCCTTCCCAAAGGCAGTAGCCAGCCAAGAGCAGCGCTGCGTGTCAAGGGTCTGCAGGAGGCTGAGGAGATCCCCGCAGGTCGTCGTAGCACAGGTGTGTGGTGGCCTGAGACTTGTCAGAAATTAAATCTGCGACACGTTGAAACTCGTAGGCCGAGGGGGGATTCCACCCGGCTTTTTTTTACCCAAAACTTGTTTTCTTTGTATGGATGTAGCCGCAGTGAATCGGGAGTTGTTGTTCTTTGGAGATCTGTGTTATATCGCATCAGGTAAAGGGAACGTTTGGAATCTTGTTGTTCCAGGCTGTGTTGGGGCTGTGACCAGATCCGAGCTGCGGAGCCACGCAAGGGGTGCAGGAAATGCAGAATTGGGCGAATTGTCCTCAGGAGGATCCCGAGATCTGACTTGCCAAACTGCGGAGAAGGGGGTGACATCTGAGAGTCGTCAGAGTCCAGCAGCAGATCAGGCAGATCCAGCGGGAAGCAGAAGAGGTGACAGCTCTTCTGAGGAAGGAGGTCCGCATGAATTCAAGGAGACGCTTTTTTATCGGCAAGCCCATACAGGAGAAAGACCGTATCTGTGTATGGAATATCAGAAGCCTTTTAAATGGAAAACTGGACTTCTAAAACATCAGCAAACTCACACCAGAAAGAGCCAGGTGTCGTCGTACATATGCACGGACTGCGGTAAAAGCTTTGGTCGCCATGCGGACTTGGTTCGCCACCAGAGAACTCACACGGGGGAGAGGCCTTACAAGTGTACGGAGTGTGAAAAAAGTTTCGTGGAAAAGCCAAGGCTCACTAATCACTTGCGAACTCACAACGTATGCGTGTAATTGGTCTGCCAAAAGCTTTCTTGGGATAGATTTTTCCATTCAGTTATCAAAAAAAATCCATCTCCATCTAGAGAGGATGGCTTGTCGTCATTTATTGATTGCGGGGGAAGCTTTAGGATGAGGCAGTTTAATAAGACTGAATCACGTTCGAGGATGAAAAGCATCTGGTTGTTGCCAGCCCAACAGTCATTGATTAGGAGCTGATTTTAATTAGCAGCTGGATGATTCATATCTGGGAGGAGGAGTTGTAAAGAGCAGCGTTGACTGTACCAGAAGCGTTGTTAAAAAAAAAAAATCTTCTGGTGTGGCAAACAGCGTGTGATCGAGAACGTCTGTACCGCTGCGGAAAACTGCTGGGAGTTTTTCAGGCAGGAGGAGACGGAGACAACACCGCGATCAGAGATCAGAACAGGATTGTCCGTCGAGCCGTAAGCAGGAAATGGAGCTCGTAAGGGTGTAGGTGAAGGTGGGTGGTTGGGTTTGATGTGAAAATAGCAACCGAAAAAGAAACAGTTAGTTCAGCAGTTACCGTCGTAGGACAGCGGCGCTGGCCGTTAAAGCACTGTTGCGTGGAGATAACGACCAGAACTGGTTGCTTCAAGCATCTGTTTATTAGGGGGAGACGCCAGTTTGATTTCTGAGATTCGGGGAAGGAGCATGGGTGTATTGGTAATGGACGTGCAAAGTACAGGCACCGTTGTAAGATAAAAAGGGCATCGCGCACAGCCCGGGGAGTCAAACTCTGCCCAGCACATTGTGCCCAGCACAATGCATCACGCTCAGCCCGGTGCGTGCCACACACCTTGGTGAGCAGCGTGCAGCTCAGCACGTTACACACAGCACAGCACATCGCACACAGAATCACGGAATGTTGGGGGCTGGAGGGGACCTCTTGGGGTCACCCAGACCAACCCCCTGCCCAAGCAGGGTCACCCACAGCAGGCTGCACAGCACCGCAGCCAGGCGGGGCTGGAATATCTCCAGAGAAGGAGACTCCCCAGC